CATGGCTCTGACATGGGTGCTCCTTGTCCTTCTCCTGGGTGGGAAACCTTGAGGAAGGTGTCCTCTGCTCCTCTTTGTCTTTGGGTTTCCTTGAAGGCTTCAGTCTTGGGCCAGATTCTTTTAAATTAAACTTTCTATTTTGAGTGCATTGTAGATTCACATGCAGTTTATAAGCGTTACTACAGAGAGATCCCAGGTACCCTTTACCCAGTTTCCCCCATGGGACTAACTCCCAACAGTATAGTATACTGTCCCAACCAGGGCCGTAACATTGGTATAGTTAAGAATAGAGGACATGTCCATTACCACAGGATCCTTCATGCTGCCCTTTTGTAGCCACCTACTTCCCTTCTGCCCCTCTTCCCTACCCCCTGGCAAGATCTATTCTCCATCCGTTCTCATGGGGTTCAGAGATAAAATTGGGTCTCTGGTTTAATAAAAGAGAGACAAGGGTTTGCATATAGTACAAAGTACAATGGACAGAGGATGATTGATTCAGTAAGAAAACTAAACACTCTAAGATTTCAGGCCATACAGGAAGAAGGCTACTTTTAGGAACCGAATTCAGCATTACCCTTTAAGTATACCATGTCTTTAGAGGAGGTCTCTTGGTATTGTTAATGTTCATGTATTAATTGCCTTTGCTGTGTTAATCATGACCTGGCTTGATTCCTCTGGCTGAATTGCACTAGTGGTAATAACTGGTTAAGTCCATGGCCCCTAACGAAAAGGGACTGTTTGGTTTGTGCTCTGCCCCAGGATAAGCCTGGGGCCTCTCATCAGGGGCTCCCGGAGGGTCAGGGAAAGTCACAAGATAGAAGTTGGAGATATGAGTTAATTATTTGGCTTCTCTTCAAATGAATGTTCTAGAAATGATTGCTTGACAGTTCTTGTAATCAGGAGAGGCTGATGCTGTGTGGAGGAATGAGGCCCTACCCCAGTCTTACTTATCCAGCAAAACTCAACCCTGATTGAATTCTGAGATCTTCCTTATCCACATGTGTCCCACAGTAGCTAAGTGTTAAGGGAATCACAGGAGGAAGCTGCCAGACTTCTTTTTAAGAGCTGTCCAGTATGATAGCTACTAGCCTCATGTGGCTGTTGAGTGCCCGAAATGTGGCCAGTGTGCTGAGAAACTAAACTTTTAATTGCATTTAATTTTTTAAAGTTTATTTATTTAAGTAATTTTTACACCCAACATGGGGCTTGAACTCATAACCCCAAAATCAAGTCACATGCTCTTCTGACTGAGCCAGCCAGGAGACCCTAATTGCATTTAATTTTGATTATTTTATTTAAAAATTTTTTAATGTTCATTCATGGGGCACCTGGGTGGCTCAGTCAGTTAAGCATCTGACTTCGGCTCAGGTCACGATCTCCCGGTTCGTGGGTTCGAGCCCCGCGTCGGGCTCTGTGCTGACAGCTAGCTCAGAGCCTGGAGACTGCTTTGGATTCTGTGTCTCCCTCTCTCTCTGACCCACCCCTGCTCATGCTGTCTGTCTGTCTGTCTGTCTCTCTCAGAAGTAAAACATTAAAAAATAATTAACAAATAAAATAAAAAATTTTTTAGTGTTCATTTTTTTGAGAGAGAAAGAGAGACAGAGCCCAGGGGTAGAGAAGGGCAGAGAGACAGGGAGACACAGAATCCAAAGCTTTCAGCACAGAGCCTGACATAGGGCTCAGACTCACAAACTGTGAGATCATGACCTGAGCTGAAGTCAGATACTTAACCGACTGAGCCACCTGGGCGCCCCTAATTTTGATTATTTTAAACTGAAGTAGTCACATATGGTTTGTGGCTGCATGTGACAGTACAGAGATTCTAGGTTATCCATGTTGCACTGTTTGAGTCAATTCACCCCTCTCAGGCCAAAGCAGAATGCTTTTCTTAGTTGTCCCCAGGATTCTCTGTGCACTCCTCTTACCCATGCAGCATCAGTCTCTCTAAAACATTTCTAAACCATCAGTTTGAAGAAGCAGCAAATAGTCTGCTTGAGCAGTGGCCAGATCTGCACCCAGTCAGTCAGTGCTTGGCTCACAGCAGTGCTTACCTGATACTTGTCTAATGAGGTAGATTTGTACCTCTCTCCTCATTTGTAGGCTTACTCCTGGGACAGGGGTGAGATTTGTTCCCGTGTGTGATACTGGGTTACAGCTTTTGTTCATGGGCACTGAGATCAAGTTGTTACATTTCTTCCTTTGCAGGAAAGCAGTAATTAAGAGTGTGGGTCCTGGAGTCAGATTCTTGGGTTGGGGTCTGGCTTCTCCACTTTCTGATTGTATGACCTCAGACAAGTTAATTAACCTCTTTGTGCCTCCATTTCTGCACCTATGAGGGTTGAAACAGTACCTCCGTAATAGGGTGATTGAGCCAAGTAAATCCAAGAAGTGCATAGGATCTGGGCCACCTCCTATTATGAAACACATGTTAATGACTATGAGCATAATGAAGATTTTCTGGAAAGGAAATGATTTGTAGTTGTGACTTTTACAAATGTCCACAAGGGGGCAGCCTAAAATGCATATCCCAGGAACCGAGTGACTTCTGTTTGTAAAGCCTCTGGGTAATGTGGCCAGTTCCAAATGTGCTTGGCCCTTTTAACCTCTCAGGTTTTTTCTTTTGTTTGACGAACATTTTTAGTGGTTCTTAGGCTGTACCTCAGATCGAGGGCAGGCCCATAAACATCTGAAGGGTGGCACGGGCAATAGAGTAAAGTTAGGTCCTGCTGGGATGGACAGGTTGATATAGGTGCTGACAGAAGGAAGCATCTGTTTAGGGGTCCTAAGCTTCTCTTTGTAACTTTTCACACAGAATAAATTCTTATCAATCAAACTCTTGAGGGAAACACTAGAGCCTGAAAGTGCTAGAGAAGAGAGAAACCTGGTTTTGTTTCCCTACTGACTACATGCTTGCCTTTGAGGATTATATGTGCACCTCAGGGGCACAGTTGGGGAACAGTGCCCTAAGCTGAGGTGACTCAGGAATACGTAAGCCACCCTTGCCTCCATAGCTTTTCCCTCCTTCCAGGGAGACTGAGTCGGAGAACTCTGTAGCCAAGAAGAATAAATTTAGGGTTTTGCCAACTGTATGGGAGCACAGAGCATCATGGGGTCTGGGGAACTGTGGGATCTTGAAGGTGGGTGGGGTATTAATAGGTACAAGGGGGATGTGGGAGAAGGAGTGTTTTGAACTAGAAGGTATGTGGAAGAAAGGGGAAGTGCTGAGCTCAAGTTGGGAAGAGAGTTTGAGATCAGACTGTGGGGAGACAGCAATGATGATCTAAGAAATTGACCTTCAGATTCTTCTTTTTTTAAATTAGTGTCCTCAATTTATTTATTTATTTTTATTTTTTATTTATTGTCAAGTTAGCTAACATACAATACAGTCTTGGCTTCAGGAGTAGATCCCTGTGATTCATCACTTACGTGTAACACCCAGTGCTCATCCCAACAGGTGGCCTCCTCCATGCCCATCACCCATTTTCCCCAACTCCCACCCCTATCAACCCTCAGTTTGTTCTCTAGGGCCTTCAAATTCTTGATGATGATCAAGTTGTTGGTAGCATCATAATGATTAAGAGTTGACTAAAAACAAACATGGATAATGGCACTTATAGTCCAGGCTGATTTCCTAGGATTTCAATCTTGAGCTTTAATATGCCTGATATATCATCCAGGATGCAAAATAAGATGCTCATGGGGAGTTGTGACAATCCAGTGTTTATTACATCCACCCCTGTCTGCATTTCTCCTGCCTACACTGAGTCCAAGTCTCCATGTCTTTCTTCTGGACAGTTGCAGGAACCTCCCCAAAAGGGTGCGGTAACTGAGGCAGCAAAGTACACAGTGAAGCCAGCATGTATGTTACCAGAAAGGAGGGCCTCAGAACCATGAAAGTGAATCTGGTTGTACTAACATAGAAGCTGATTTCTCCAAGATGTTGTCCCTGAACATTATATAAGTAATGCTCCTGAATGATTGGTTGTGACTGAGTGCAGTAAATTATTTCTAATTCTAAAATGACCATGAAGATCATTTGGTCTTTAATTCAGAAAGCTCTTTATGATCCTATAGAAGATGGGTGGAGATGTGGAGCTCCTGGGTTGTTTCCTGGACAATTTGTGGCAAGGGGTGTGGAGGGGACTGTCATCTATTCCATTTTATTTTTTGTAGGTATTTAAATGACAAAGAGGAGCACATTATATTTCTTCTTTTTGATTCTAAAATACTAAGATTGAGGGACACCTGGGTGGCTCAGTCAGTTAAACATCTGACTTCGGCTCAGATCATAATCTCGTGGTTCAGGAGTTTGAGCCCTGCATCAGGCTCTATGCTGACAAACCAGAGCTTGGAGTCTGCTTCAGATTCTGTATCTCCCTCTCTCTGCTGCTCCTCTACTCATTCATTCATTCTCTCTCTCTCTCTCTCTCTCTCTCTCTCTCTCTCTCTTTCTTTCTCTCTCTCACTCACACACATACACACACACAAATAAATAATTTAAAAAAATTTTTTAAATAAAATACTCAGATTGACATTGGAGCATATTTAACAGAGCCAAAGTCAAAGTTGAATGTTGTATTTCTCAGTGCCTACTCAAGGAGCTTGTACATGTTCCTCAGCAGTTGGCTCCCTTCAGAAAATTAGGATGTTTACAATCTGTGTAATAGTTGTGTCTACTTTTGTGCTTCTCATCTCCCCTAGGAGCCAGGCTCAGGGAGGCCTGGTGTGCTTTTCTGCACACTGCTTGACCTCCCTGGCCATTAACTGCACTTTCTGACTCCCTCCAGGGAGTCCTGGGGACAGAGGACTAGGGAGAGGGCGTGGTTCTCCAGGATTGGCATTGGGGCCACTATAGCAGTGTGATGGGTGAGTGTGAAGCTGTGACTGTCACCTCTCAGCTTTCAGGGCCTCACCGTCCAGGGTGTGGGAGTAGTAGCCCATGGCACTCAGCACATAGGGAAAGAGGGAGGAATAATTTCATTATGTTATATTTTTTGTAGGCATGGATGGATTTTTAAGATCCGATGAGAGACAAAGACTAGCTAAAGAAAGACGAGAAGAGAGAGAAAAATGTCTCGGTAAGTTGTGCCCTTTGGCTGTTGAGGTCCAAGGGCACAAAGATGTGGTGGTATGTTTTCTGAACATCCTTAGAAATTTATGACTGAATGGGAAGAGAGCTAGGACAGTTGCTAGATGAACATGAAGAACTGGGGGAGAAGTCTATACTTTGGCATATTCACAATTGTTATATAATTTTCAAAATAGTTCATCTACTTCTTTAGCAGACATTGAGCTTCTGCTGTCTTCTAGACACTCTGCTAGGGACTGTGGTAAGATGGTAAAGAATGAGAAACAATCACTGCCCCCTCCCCCTCCCCAGGCATCCATTATATGCTTTCACTTAGGCTCTCTCCAGGGCATCTAGAAAGGCCATCATCAGAACTGAGAAAATCAGCAGTTAAGACATTTTCTGTGTTAGAATGGGAACCCATTTGAGAAAGGCTGTCTTACCCTCTTAAAAACTATAGACAGAGGGGTATGCTGTATTCCCCACAGGGTACTGGGAGGTAGGTAAATAGTGGTTTCCCCACTGAATTGAGACAAATGAGCTTTCAAATTCTTCTTCATTGCCTCCTGGTGGTTGGTTCACACATTGTATGTCCTGGGGAACCCTTCCCTGACACAGCCGGGTAGATAGTCTTAGGGAATGTCTTGAGTTTATACATCTTTGCCTAGCTCATTTCTTATGTACGAGACATGCATAGTTAACATGTTTTTTTTAGTGTATGTGCCCTTAGAATTCATTTCTCAACCTAGTGTACGGCTTGGCCATTGTGGCAAGTCTGACTTAATGATAGCAATAATAGTTGTGCTCCCATGTGTAGGGACAGTTACGGTGCACTTTCCATGCATTGCCTCATTTAATCTTCACAACACTGTGATTTTGTGAACATGATGGTCCCCACTTCACAGAAGAGGAAACTGAGGCAGAGGGATTATGTGGTTAGCATGCCCAGGGTCACCCAGCTAGTGGCAGAGATGCCAGAACCCTTCATCTCAATCACTGTGGCCTAGATTCCCACTGGGCTCCTTTTTGGGTCTTGTTCTTGATTCTACATTTTGGTCTTAATTCAAAGAGTGTGGGGTGCTCTGGTAATGACACCACTCTTCCACTCTCCTTCCCCCAGCCGCCCGGGAGCAGCAGATCCTGGAGAAACAGAAAAGAGCTAAGCTCCAGTATGAAAAGCAAATTGAAGAGCGATGGCGGAAACTGGAAGAGCAGAGGCAGCGGGAGGATCAGAAGAGGGCTGCCGTGGAAGAGAAGAGGAAGCAGAGACTCCGGGAGGAGGAGGTAAGGTCCAAGGACCTCCAAGTCTCTCAGCAGCTCACACGGGGCTTGGTGCTCAGAGGCATCTGAGTGTCCTGCCCGGCTTGGGGGTACGGGAGACCTCTACTACCAGGCCTTCTCCCAGCAGCAAGACGTGGTATAGTGAAAGCACTGGAATAGGAATGAAGAGACTTATCCATTCAACTCGAGTGTTAATTTGCTCTTTGACCTTGGACAAGCCAATTGGCCTGTCTGGGTATTTGCTTGATTTGCTTATCTCTAAAGTGAAGGTTTGGATTTAGCAGTCTCCAAGGCCTCTTCCAGACATAATGTTCTCTGAGTTTGAGACTCAGAAGGAATTGTGGATAGGGGCCTGCTAATGTAGCCCTGAGGGTTGTGCTGGGAGCCTATGCCTCTTGGGCAGACGTGAGGCTGGAGGAAGGGACCTGAAGGCAGAGGAGAGAGTAAGGACAGAGGATAATGGGTCCTCTTATTTCATAGCTGGAAAAGCAAACAGTTTGCCTTCAACTATAAAGATGCTAGTATATTTAAATTTTAATGCAGTTCTTTGCTTTAATCATCCTTTTTCTCCTGTTACCTTTTTAAAAAGAAATGGAATGTAATTACCTCTGTAGAGTCCTTTCTTACTAAACTTTGAAAATATATTTAGAAAGCATAGTTGGGGTACAGACTTTCTTAAGAAGCGTAGTTTAAGGATGTAATCATAGCTTTGTATCAGGTGATGATCATTTTTTATTCATAAGATATAATGACTCATCATTTAGTATGAACAATATAGAAGTTTGTTAATTGCTAGCCCTATAGGATTCAGAGACATTTGTATAAATTTGGTATCTTTTTAATTTCTGAATGGTTTATCACTATACATCTTTGCCCCTTCTTTTTTAAATTTAAAAAACACGAACACATGCGCGCGCGCGCGCACGCGCGCGCGCACACACACACACACACACACACACAATTAGACCCATCTTTGCCCACACAGCACTTATTTAAATGGGGATTTTTGGGGCACCTGGGTGGCTCTGTCAGTCGAGCATCCAACTCTGGATTTTGGCTCAGGTCATAATCCCAAGATTGTGGGATTGAGCCCTGTGTCGGGCTCCACACCGAGCGTGGAGCCTGCTTGGGATTCTCTCTGTCTGTCCCTTTGCCCCTCTCCCCCGCCCACACACTCTCTCTCTCTCTAAAATACAATATGATACGATATAATTTCTTTGTTCCTTGTAGCAAATGAAGTCACTGCAAGGGTCTTAGCCCTACTTTGCCATTTCTGCCTGTTGCCTGATGCCTACATGGCTTCATCTGCTCCCTGTGCAGATCCCAGCTCTCTTACTAGGTAGCTGGTAGCCAGGGGCGAGTCACATAGCTCCTCATAACCCTCTAACTTACTCTCCTCAGCCCAAAATAGATGTGGTCACAAATGACTTTTTAAATAATTTTTTAAAATGTTTATTTAGTTTTGAGAGAGAGAGCAAGAGACCAAGCACAAGCAGGGGAGGGGCAGAGAGAGTGGGAGACACAGAATCCAAAGCAGGCTCCAGGCTCTGAGCGATCAGCACAGAGCCTGATTCGGGGCTCAGACTCACAAACCGCAAGATCATGACCTGAGCCAAAGTCGGACTCTCAGCCAACTGAACCACCCAGGCGCCCCAAGGAAATGACTTTTGTCTAAGTGCCCAGCAAAGCACCTTATACAGAGTAATGTTCAGAAATGTTAGACTGCCTTTGTGACTTCAGCTGAATTTTTAGCAGTTGCACTTCCATATAATTGTTTATTTGCTTTGTGTGTTTCCTTTCATCCCTAACATGGGTGATGGTGGGGCGTGGGGGATGCGGCCTGACCTTTGTCACAACACTCACAAGCCGAGTTTGCTTCCCTTTTCTCCCCAGACACAGAAGGGCAGGGCTGAGAGCCTGGGCCTCCTGTGGTTGTGTAGCAACACAAGGAAACAGCAGCCCTCCTCCCACCCTCAGGGACCCCAGAGTCCCAGGCGGAGCTTACGGGCTTTGCACATCCAGGCCGGCCCAGTAACCACATCAGTGTCAGCAGTCTGCTCGTATGGAGATCTGTTTGGCATTGTTGTGAGTGATCTTTGGAGAGGATGGATGGGTCTACACTGCAGGAGCCCCTTTCCAGAGGAAACCCCCTGCATTTGCCTGCATGGTTCAGTGGAGATCTTTGGCAAGGTTGCTGCCTGCTTGGCACATGGCTGTGGAAATTCTCCAGTCTTTTCTTGTTCTTCTTGTCATGTTCTGTCTCTGTCAACCAGGGAAAAGCCTCTGTAGGAATGGTTCATTCCATTGCAACCCATTTTGCTTCTGTAGCTTATTAGAAAGTGTTCGGGTTGCCCACCAAGTCCTGCATATCTTGGTCTGATATTAGGAGCTTATTAAAAGACCTGTTGGCTCCACACCTCCCTCCTAGCCCTAGCCCTGTTCTGGTTCTATGTCCCTAGAATTGCCATGCTGTCACTCTTGGTAACTCCTCATGTCTGTGTGGGTGAGCCCCAGACATGGCCAGGAGGCTTCCTATCTAGCAGTACAGAGGTGGGCACCACAAACAGCCTGGCTTCCAGAAGTCTTGAGCACTGGGAGGGCTGGAGGCTGGTCAGGCCTGTCCTGGGGATGGGGCATCCAGTATCCACTTGAGATACTGACCTTGAGCTCATTCTCTCACTGAAGGCTGCTTTCTCCTCAAAGTAGGTTCTTCTAATCCTTACATGCCACATAGCTTCCAAGAATCAGGCTTCTGGAACAAACCCTTGTCACCTACTTGGGGTTAAGGCTGATAACACAATACACTCACCCATTCTCCACTTGGAGAAGTATAGTTTCCTGACAGGAGGCCCTGAGAAATGGGATTTGGTGAAGCCAACTCCATGTTCCTCAAGTTAAACAGATAATCAGGAAAGGCTTCTTTCAAAGAATAGCTTCATATCTGTGGGGTTTTTTTTGACACATCACAACTTCTCATACTCTTATTGCTTGATATTTAGCAAAATCCACCAGGCTGACTGTAAAAACAAGAAATTTCTGAACTCAAACAAAAACTTTACTAAGCTGAGAGCTAGCCACTCTCAGAGGGCATTGGCTGGCATGGGGCCTCGGTGACTACATGGTCTTCTGGCCAGATGTAGACATCTGTTTGTAAAGAGAAAGACCTTCTGCAGAGCCCTGCTGAGAACCTCTTGGGGTCTTGTCCCCACATTGCCTTCCCAGAACACGTGTAGTAATAGTAAGGGCAATGGAAAAGGCACAGCCAGCTCTCCACTCCTGCTAGAGATGCTGTCTGGGTCATAAACAGTGCCTGGGCGGTGTCCTGCTGGAGGCCTTTTATACTCCTCAGCCAGCCCTGTGGGTCACCTCAGTCTTGGTTCTCCTCTGAGTTCATCTAGGCAGACCTAAGGCCAGAGCTAATGGAGTCCAGGCTGAGGTCCCCTCATTCCTTCCTTCCACTAAGGTGTACCCAACAGAGGACATTCTAAGGACAAGAATCTGTCTTGCTCTTTCCCCACCCTCTGTTGATCATCCAGTGATACTCAGGAGAATGAGAACTTGGCAGGAATTGCAGTATGCAGTATGCAGCTGTAATATTTATTAATACTGTTCTTCTGGTGTGATTGAGCTTTCTTGCATGCTCTCTTATGCTCTCCTCTAACCAGTGGTTCTCACACTGAGATCCCAGGACCAGCAGCATCTGCATCACCTGAGAACTTGCTAGAAATGTAAATTGTTAGGGGTACCTGGGCGGCTCAGTCGGTTAAGCATCCGACTTCGGCTCAGGTCATGATCTCACTGTTCGCGGGTTCGAGCCTCACGTCGGGCTCTGTGCTGACAGCTCAGAGCTTGGAGCCTGCTTCACATTGTTTTCCTCTCTCTCCTCCTCCCTCACTTGTGCACTCGCTCTCGTTCTCTCACTCTTTCGCTCTTTCTCAATAATAAACATCTTTGAAAAATAATAATTTTCCTCTTCAAATTTGGATTCAGCTAGTGTTCGTAAGGACTTATTGTGCTAGTTATTGTCTCATAGACTTGAGTGATCTGGTGATACAGGTAACGTTATCCCCACTTTTTTTTAACATGAGGAAAAAACTAACTGGGTATGTGTACATGGGAGTTTACAAAAATACCAACATCATCCCCATTTATAGATAGGAAACTGATGCCCAAGGATGTTAAACAATTAACTCAAGGTCATAGGGCTAAAAAGTGGCAGGCAGAGGTACAATTTGAATCCATATTTACTGACTCCAAATCTAGGATTCCTTCCATTCCATCCAATGAAGGAACAGAAAAATCTGTTTCCATGCCTCCCCCCCCCCCCCCCCCGATGGTAATACTATATAGGACTAACCTCTAAGGAGAGTGAAGTGGACCAGTGCTTTGACATGTTTGAATTACCCCATTCTGATGACTTTGGGTTCTGTAAGTCTCATACCGTATAGTTTGATTACCACCTATTTTTCATCATCTCTGCAAAAGTGGGTGACACAAAGTAATTGTGTCTTTTCTTAGGGATAGGTTCCTTTTCATAAACCTGCTTATGATTCGAAGGAATGTATCTCTAATAGTGGAATTTGGAGCAGCTCAGTGAGCAGGGGGTGGATGGCAGAGGGTTTTTTTTTTTTTTTAAGGTAACTGAACAATCCAGGAGTAGGTCTGGCCTTGGGTGAGCATTCCCTTGTAGTCATCCCCCTTGTAGTCACAGCTGCTCACTTTGGCTGACAAGTCTTGGTGTTCTTTGCTGTTATTGGTCTCCTAGTAAATGAAGGACTATCATGAAGTCCTTCTGGCATGTAGGCAATCTCCCGTAACCCACTCAGTACTAAATTCACTCGCGGTAAAAGGTTTCAGCATTCATATTGGGTCATTGGTTAATTAAATACTTTATGTTAAATCCATATAATGAAATAATTTTCAGTCCTGGTCTCAAGCAATCATATTTTGAGTGTCAAATAGTCAAAAAGTTCTAGTCCCGTCAAACCCCCAACTTTTCTCGGGTAGGCCCTGGGGATTGGCTGACAGAATTTAATGGGCCAGGGTCATGAGGGCAGGACTTTGCTAGGAAATGCTCACTCATGATTGTAGAGCCTCAGCCAAAAACTGGAGCAAATAAAAATCTGAGATTTACAGGAGAAAAAAAAATCCCCTTTCTACTCAGAGGTCCCTGGAGACACCATGTCTTAGCAAAGTGCTATTCAGAGAAAAATTATGCAGAGGAAGCTTAGATGTGGATAATGCTCACCCCATCTCTCTGGTATAGACAGAAGGGCTAGATCCAGACACCTCCCAAGCGACCTGTGTTTCTAGTAAGTAAAATAAAGGAGCCTTTCCCTGATTTTTAAGTCAGGGTTATTCGGTTGGTGCTTCCCTGAATTAATTTTGCTTGCTTTTTACTCAAGCCATGAGAAGATAGTTCTGTTTTTGTTTTGGATCGGCTAGGATTAGCCCCGTTCCTGGAGCACCTCAGGGTTGGCTTTCCTGAAGGCAAAAGAACTTCAGCACGGACCTGTTTACCTTGCTTCCCTTGCGTCAGGCTTTCTCCAGTAGAGGCAGGGAGAGGATTTGGTATTTGCAGTGTCATTGGGGCAGTGGAGAATGCAAAATAAGAACAGCTTCATTCCAGTGCCAAGGAGATATTTGCCAGCAGTCAGACCCAAGTTTATGAAAATAATGCTTTGGTTGACATAAGAGAGTGCTTTTTAATAAATGCTCTGGTAAGAGAAAAGCCTCTTTTTTTCTTCCTCTTCTGGCTAAAAACTGTTTAGTTCTTCTCCTTGCCCCCCCCCCCCCCCCCCCGTCTAATCCTTGAGAATGCATAGATGCTTTGTTTTGTGGCCAGAAGGTTCCCTACTCCTGTGTCTTTTAAATTTTGAAATATGCCACATTATGCCTGGAATACTGTGTAGCAGGAAAATGTTACAATGTAGAAAACGATTGATTCCCCTTTAAGAAGTTCTAAGATGAAAATGGGGCTTGGTAAAATAGATCTCAAAGCCGTGTGTGTGTACTCCAAAAAGTTATGTTTAAGGCTACAAAAATTCAAATTATATTTAAATTTTCTCAAATTAGAATGCTTTATGCTTTTCTACTAGAGAGAATGCACTTGGTTCCAGAGCACAATTCCAGTCCTACTAGAAAGGGTAAAATGGGACATGAGACAGGCCTGAAGGAGTTAATGCTTGTCTGGCACTATTCTTAAACAAATCAAGGCCTGGCTGCCGCAGCCTGTCCCCTGGGGCTGGGAGCCAGCACTAGCTGCATTGTTTACTCTCCACCCACTAAGATCTCACTGCTGTGATGGAGAGCACGTGTGCCTAGGTTTTGGCTGCTTAGTGCAGAGAGCCCCATTTGGTGACTCACTCTGCGCACTGAAGCGCGGTGGCACGGTGGGGCCGGGTGGTTAATGTCGCTCTCCCTTGCATGAACTGAGCAGGAGCGGCTGGAGGCGATGATGCGCCGCTCCCTGGAGCGCACACAGCAACTGGAGATGAAGAAGAAGTGCTCGTGGGGAGCTTCCCTGGCCACGGGACCTGGCGGACGTGATGGTGAGTGTAGGGCTGTCCCTGCATTGCAGGGCCCAGGTGGGAGATCAGGGGGCAAGCAGGAGATGCTGGACACAGGCCGGTGCCCACAGGGTCTGGGGCATGTTGTGTAGTTATCTGCAGGTGCCTTTTTCAGATGTGATGTCAACCTTCCGGTATGTGTATTTCTCATGAATGGGGTCTGTGCATTATTTTTGCTAACAAACAGCAGTTGATACGGTAACGGGGCTTTTTGAGGTAAAGCAAAAGAAAAGCAAAGAAAATGAATGCAGAGCCTGGTTAACCAGATGCACCTGGCAAGCCTAGCTCTACTCTGATTTCAGGGAAGGTCAAATGGCAGTAGCCTAAATCTCTACTGCAGTGTGGCCCCGGAAAGGCTGAGCAGCGGTTACCCTCCAAAAGGGGCTGGGGCTTTTCCCTCCTCATTATTAATTTTTGTTGCTCTTTCAATTTTGTTTCAAGGTGACTTATTTATTTCATTTTCCAGTTCATGCTCATCTTTAAATTTTCAAGTGCCTAATGTAATGTGTGGATTGTTACTAGTCTCTGGGTAGCTTTTCTCTCTCTCCAGTGCCGCCTTTTCTGTGATTTTGTCATTCTGTTACACAGGAGTTGTATACTAGCTCTTTCTGAAAACAAATGCATTCCATTTGTAGTACAGTTTCTTGACTTCACTGTATTGTGCTTTTAACCTCTGTCAGTGAATATACTTTATTTTCTTTTGGAGAAGTCAGTAACCTATTTCAGTTACTTTTTCTAATTTCCTAGTTAGGAACTAAAGTCAACCAGAAGTTGGGACTTTTTTCTTTTACCTCTCTTTGCTCTGATTTTTTGCTGTGTAGGTGAATCAGAAAATACCCCACCCCCTCCTCTAGGTTTAGCCTCCAGCACCCTTCCTCCGGACCCGGGGACCAGTGCCACCGCTGCCGAGTCTACCAACGGTATATCCGAGCTTCACCGTGCTATGGCGTTTTGTGATGACTGTTCTGATCATCCTCCTCCATCACCGTGTCTGTCTCAAGCACTCTTACAATTGATTTCTTAGACTGACCCCTTAGAACTTTTTTTCTAAAAATGTGAATGACATGCCCATATTTCTTTGTTCCTCTGTTATTGTGGAGCTGTGCATGCCTTACGCCCTAGTGCCCTAGAGACATTTCATCCTTAGCTCACCATCTTCTGCCTTGAAAATCTTGTCACTGTTTGACTTCTGTGCATTTAGATCTTTAAGACTCTCATTAGTTATTGGTTTTAGGCATGAATTAGTAAGGCGTTTCCATCACTTCTGGTTACCAAAACCTGTGCCCTTAAAGAGTTCTGGGTGTTACTGTGATAGATTCCTGGCAGAGGTGTTTGAGACAGAGTGACAGTGTGTTTACCAATACCAACACTGGGAATCCAAAGGAGATAAGTTTGCTTTGTTCTTGATTTACTCTATTTAATAGGCTCTCTGTTTTTGTATATAGGCCTGGGAAATTCTTAGGGTCTAAAACAAGAGCAGAATTAGTAAAATTTTGCTTCCATTTAATAAAGACTTTAGAAATTTAATCCATCTTCGGCTGGCAAAGAAAAAACAAGTAAAAGGGATGCAGTATTTACCAGCAATACAGAAGGTCAAATTACAGCAGAAGGAATAAATATCCTTGGTTTCCAGCATTCCTTTGTTAAAGAAAAATCCTTACTGATGTTGCTGAGTAGCAGAGACTTTGCTGCATGGGCCAAGTTAACCGTAGTATGGTACCGGTCTTCCTCTAACAGAGAGGGGCAGTGGTTAGAGTTGATAATTGCCCCTTGGGAATCACACCCAGGGCAGGCAAGCACAATACACAACTCGGGCACACAGTTTAAGGCAGCACCAAAAATCTCAGTTATCAAGATGAAAAGATATTTGAATAAATCTAAATGAATGCAGAACAATCCATGATAAGCAAAATAGCCAGTTTTTAAATGCGAGTACCATACTGAGCCAGCCATATTGGAGCCTACAGCAAAAGGGGAAATGTGTACCCTTTTCTACTTGGTTTTATGTCATTTCTACTGGCTAATTTTTTTCCAGAACATTGAAGTACTTGGAAAAAATGGTGAAAAATTGAGGTCTACTAAAACATCATTTTTAGAAATTTTTAATGTTTTTATTTATTTTTGAGAGAGAGACACAGAGCATGAGTAGGGGAGAGGCAGGGAGAGAGAGGGAGACACAGAATGTAAAGCAGTCTCCAGTCTCTGATCTGTCAGCACAAAGCCTGGAATGGGACTCCAAGTCATGAACTGCGAGATCATGACCTGAGTCAAAGTCGGATGCTTAACCGACTGAGCCACCTAGGCGCCCCACAACTTAAATTTTAAGTTCATTTTAAATTTAAGTATTTTATTTATATCAAAATAGAATTTATTATAATTTCACTCCACCTTAAGATAATTAAAAATTATTTAAGGTTGTCACTTGATGAGGACACATTGTAAAACATGGCAGTTTTCACATTTGAAAACAATAGGAGGAGAGGAATAGATTCTGAAAACATTATTAATGAGTTTGCTTCTGTTAAAGCCAAGGGCATACATCTTTCCTTTTGTCTCAGGCTTTGATAGGGCATGACCGGGCACTACCAGCACCTCTTCATTTGGTATAATGGTTTAATTTAGAACCAGTCTAAAATAAAATAATGGCTGGAAGTTAAGAACACCATATCCAAGATCGTGTATTAAAATCCTAACCAAAAATAGTCACAGCAGTAGAGAAAGGGCCATTGTGATCCCATCTCGAGAAGAGGGAGAAACCAACTGCTAAAGGTGACTCTGCTTTAAATTCAGCTCCTTGCAGTACGTATTATTCTCTCTTCAACCTGAGTCTATAGATAACCATCAGAAAAAGTCTGGTTTCAGCTCAGTCTCAGACCATAGAACATTTTCCGGTGGTGATTTGTCTCTGCATCTAGATTGGTTTTGTTTTCGTGTAGTCTGAATATGCCTAAAAATCCCTGGACACAAGGAATTGATTTGCTGGTGGGATCAGCATGACTTTAGTTGAACAGTTGAGTGAGGTTGAACATTTGAAATTGAAGAGACGATCTTGCTTCACACTGATGGCTGCCGTGGCCTGGGCATTTCCAGATAGGCGAAGTATGTAGCAGGATGTTGGAAGCAGTGTGCTGTGCCACAGCAGTTTAGGAGGCGTGTGGATGAGGACAGGAAGAACACTTTGGGATATGTGTTTCTCGGTCTACAGTGGTGCAAATACCAATGTCTTTAATGCGTTTCTCTGCAGCATGTGACAAACTTTCAACATCAACCATGAATTTGCCAAAGCAGACGGAGCCTCCCATGAGTAAGCGCCTGTCTTCATCCACCGTGGCAATATCCTATTCCCCAGACCGAGGCAAGTGAACGTGTAGACCTGGTCTCTGTAGTTTTCTTCTTTTCTAGTGTGAGCATCTTAACATCGGTCTTTGTGAGAGCCCCTTGAGCCTTCTGCAAATACCTCCATTTTCCTAGCCTTGGAGTCTGAATGTGGGAGCCCCAGTACCTCATTTAATGGGACTTTGGAAAATGACATCACTCTTTAGAGTCAGATCGTTGTTGAATAGGTCCGGGAATTAATGATATTCTTTAAGTCTGAAAGAGATTATTCCATTTTCTACAGTTCATGTAGGAGTTATCCTGCCCTAGAATTAACTGACCAGTGGGCAGAGAAGACTGTTATAAAAGTAAGTGCCAGGTTATTGATTCATGTGATCTAGTTGATTAGCCAGAAACAGCAGAAGTCATCAGGCAGAGGTTCGTGGAAAACTTAGATGTATGAAAAAAATAGGGCTCTGTTATCATCTGTGGTTTGGAGGCCTGCCCATTTCTGTTTGAAAACAAGTTCAGAACTAATGTGAAGCCTTTAAAAGGGGAAAAGGATGGGTGGCCTGTTCCGGCACTCATTTTAAGTTGGAAGATAGTATGTATAGGACATGTGCCAGTTCCATAAACTGAATAGATTCAAAACTGCTCGTGTTCTAATTGGGGCACAGATAAGTCACTAAAAGTAGGAATTTATACCTTCTAGAGTATATAGGTTAGGAAAGAGAAGGATGCTCTCCATGTGTTAAGAACGTATTTTATTTATTTATTTAAAAATTTTTTTAATGTTTGTTTATTTTTGAGACAGAGAGACAGAGCATGAATGGGGGAGGGCCAGAGAGAGGGAGACACAGAATCCGAAGCAGGCTCCAGGCTCTGAGCTGTCAGCACAGAGCCCGATGTGGGACTCAAACTCACAGACCGTGAGATCATGACCTGAGCCATAGTTGGTCACTTGACCGACTGAGCCACCCACGCACCCGTAAACACATATTTTTAAAGCATCAACTGGAGAAGAATCAGGTGCCAGTGAAGTATTTAACAGGTTAAGCAGTACCAAGGGGCAAGCAGGAAAGTATTTTTGACTTTGAATAGGCCAGTGTGCCTTTCTGGTTGTTTTTCACTGGCATTGACCTTGCACCTCCAGCACAGAGGCCTGTCAGGTCAGAGAACCCCTAAGTTTCAGTGTTGTTGATCTCTGATGCAGTTCATGGGTGAACTGAATGCTGGAAACCTTGAATTAACTGAGAGATGAATGAGAAAACATCTACTTGCTCTTTAGTCTGTATAGTTGTTCTATAGTGAGTGTATTCCATATGTTTTCATTAATTCACATGGTTACAAATTGGTGTTAAATTCATATTTGCAATGATTACTATGTAAAGATATCAGTATGTTATTACATATTCTTGGCAACTGAATTATCTGCTTGTGGATTGTAAATTGAAAATTTTCACTTCCCAGACCGTTTACTGGCTAATGGGTACCCAAAAATTCAAAGTAATGGAAAAGTTAATTTGTTAGCATATAATATATTTGAAAGCCATCAAAATAACATTTTGGTTACTGCATTTTAAATTATGACTACTACTACTTCCATTAAAGCTGATAATCAGTTGGCTATTTCTATTTTTGTGATTCTTATTTAATTTTTGCCCTGATTTACCTGGAAAAAGTATGAATGGATACATACTTATATATTAACAAAATCAGTGTACGATGAAACTTTTTTTCACAGAGGACCTAAAGTGTTTCGTAGGAGTAATCTTTTTTTCAATGTTAGATCTACTGGGTGAGTAAATGGTTTCTTGAGTCCATATTACATCTTGGGAGATGGGCTAATTCTCTTCACGTGATACAGGTAATATTGTAATACTGTAATAGCATATTGAATGAATTCTGGCACCCCAAAAGAATTACCACACTCTCCCAAACTCCAGATTACACATCATTTGTTTTATTTTACTATGATGAACTCTGAAGCCATCCTTTGCAAGAGTATTTTTATTTTCTTCATTCATTCTGCCACCCAAAAGTTAATTTGCATCATGCACTGTATTGTTTTAAACATTTTATTTTGTTTTAATTTTGCTTTTTAAAATTTTCATTTGATTCCATCCTTCAGCTCATCGCACACACCTTAGTCCCATGGAAACCTTTCTTGTTATGCGACTGTTGACACCCACACAGGCTTCTTTAGCCAGAAGCAGAAGTGCACTCATGTTCTCTGAGCAGGCCAGTGACTCAGGTAAAAGAGGCCAAGCTGGTGACACTGAGAAAAATGCCCGAAGCGATGTTGGTTGACCTAGGAGTTGTTCCTGAATTTTTGTATTTTGTTTCCCATTTGCTTACTTGTGAAATGTCTCCAGTGGTTAAAAGCATTTTCTACCCACCAGTGTTTTGCTGTTGCTGTGGGGTTTTTTTTCTTTTAAGTGTCACAGAGGTGAGTAAATTATGATTGAGGGTATGTGAATTAGGGGAAAAATCTATTTCTTGAGCTCTGGAGATTAGTAGACTTTTTTAAAGAGTAATTTGGCAAAGTAGCCTATAAACCACAGTGTCTGGAATACCAGAACTGGATTTACCACTTACTAGCTCTTACCACTTTGGGTAAATTCATTAACCTCTCTAAGGCTTAGTTTCCTTATCTGTAAAATTGAATTACTTTAAACTGTCATGAGAATTAAATGAGATAGGACAGTGACTGCAAGAGTAAGACTTCAAATGTTTAAAGCCTGGCTACTCAAGGGGTGACCCATGGACCATCAGCCTTGGTATCACCTGGGAGCTTGTAAGTAAGACAGACACAAAGAAGTCTGAGAAATTCCGGGCCACCCTATGAAAGCCTTTTCTTGACCAAATAGGATCAAATTGTCATGGCAAGATTAATGAGGGCTGGCATTCTCTGGTTGCAGATTAGCAACACTGTGTCCACATTAGGGCAGGTCTGGTCTTAGTTCTCAAGACGGTGTATTCTAGAAACAACCTATACTGGTTTCTGAGTAGTTGTGCTATTTCTCCAAAGAAGATAAAGAAATGGCCAATAAGCACATGACAAGATGCTCAACATCATTAGACATAATGGAAATGTATATCAAAACCACAATGAGATACCACTTCACACTTACTAGGATGGCTAAAATTCAAAGAAAAAAGGGAAAATAGTAAGTGTTGACATGGATATGGAGAAACTATGACCTTCATACATGGCTGAGAGGAATGTAAAATGGCATACTTGTTTTGGAAAACCACCTGGCAAGTTTCTCAAAAAGTTAAACATAGAGTTACTGTGACCTAGCAATTGGATCTTATGTATAGGCCCAAGAAAATTGAAAGCATACAATTGAAAAAACTTGTACCTGAGTAGTTCTTACCATCATTGTTCATATTAGCCACAAAATGGAAACAACCCAAATGTCCATCAAAAGATGAATGGATAAATAAAATATGGTATATCCATAAAATGAACTATTACTCAGCTATAAAAAGGAATGAAGAACTGAAAACATTATGCTTGGTGAAAGAAGCCAGACACAAATGCTACAAATTATATTATTCCATTTATATGAATTGTCCAGAATAAGCAAATCCAGAAAGACAGTATATTAATGGTTGCTAGGGACTGGGGGAATGGGGAAAGGGAATGAATGCTTAATGGGTACAGGGTTTGTTTTGGGGGCAATGTCCTGGAACTAGACTGTAGTTATAATTGCACAACTTGTGAATATACTAAATACCACTGAATTGTGAACTTTTTAAAGGATAATTTTGTGGTATATCAATTATCTGTCAAACAGAAAAAATTCCTGGGAAGTAGGAAGTATCTCCCTTTTGAGAACAAGGGAAAGTGTCCGCAAGTCCCCAAGACCACTTGCAGGGTCAGTGATTCTCTAGGAGTACTCCCAACTCTGGTTTATTACAGAACAAAATCAGCAAAAGGAAAAGGCCTTTGAATGAAGTCTGAGGAACAAGCTTTCAGAGTCCTCTTCCACTGGAGCCACATAGGGCACATTCCCTCAGCAATGAGTTGTGACATGTATGAAGTGTTACCTACCAAGGAAGCTTATTAGAGACTCAGTGCCCAGAGATTTTATTGGAGGGTGGTCATGTAGGTACACCCTGCCTGGTACATACCCAAATTCCAGACTATCAGAAGGAAATCAAGTGTCAGCATAAATTAGCGTTTTGTACAAACAGCTTAGGCACAGTGAGCCACTCTTATCAGTTAATGGTGGGAACCCTTCCAAAATCCAAATTCCCTGATGCCAGGGCCAACCTTATAAGCCAGCCTTTCTAAAGACAGCAGTCTGACCTGCTGTATATTTCTTTTCTGCATAGTCCATCCCCTTAAGTCCTTGGTGAAGGCATCTTTACAGCAGAATTGTCATCAGCAGGATTCTATACAGCAGGTTGAGACCAATCTATGGTATTGACTTCACTTATGCCCTTTAGAGGTTCTGGACATAGCCAGTTAAAACACAGACCATTAGCCATAAAGGTCTGTCTTAGAAATCTGGGTGGTTTCCTCTGTAACATTCTATATGAACCTCTTTTCTTTTTTTAACTTGGCCCGAGGCATCAGTTCAGGCCCTGCCCCAGCCTGGCCATGGCCAGTAAAGGGAAGCTGTTCAGGAGCCTTTAAGGGCTGAGGGAGTATCACAGTAGTCAGAACACACACTTACTAAATCTAATTCATGAGGGCACACATGTCCCCTGGAGACAGTTTACAGTGTTGGGGCGCCCCCAGCAGGACGTACATTGGTCAGCCACAACAGGGCAACTGGCCCCCTTTGTGTCTTTCCCATCAAGGTTCCTCCAACCCCAGGATTCTTAGTCTGGCCCGAGGAATTCATTTGGGTCCTTGCTTTCAGAGGGACTGCCTGAGGTGGCCACTTCTAAACAGTTCTGTCAGCAACATGAGTTCGTTGCCTGCTGAGTGCGGCCAGCATGTGGACGTGTTCTTTAGGGACTGTGCAGGAACTGGCTCCGCCCTGCGGCTCACAGTCCCATTGTCACATGCATCCTGGGCTCAGCAGTCTGCTTGCAGTCTGAAGCATTCACAGCAGCTGCTGGCACAGGCACATGGTGTTTCGTCAGGAAGAAGGGAGAGTTCTCAGGAACAGTTCTGGAAAATAGAAATCACAAATGTCCTTCCCCTCCCTGGCAACACTCCGGGTGTTATCAGCGTGCCCCATTCAGTAATGGAAACTTTACATTTTCTCAATCATCGTCTACTTTTAAAATGACCTTTTATAAGGAAAGGTTGAATGTAAGGACAAGAGCATTTTTACAAAAAATTTTAACCTAACCAGAAAGACACCTCATGTTAAGGAACAAAATCCTGAGTTTTCAAAAAAAAATTTCAACATAGGTTTGCATCATCTGCCATCTCTGTAGTCTTACTAATTTATACAGCGAATAGCCTAGAAGAAAGCAATCCCTCCCTGGGAACAGGTGCATTTAACAGATTGCCTTCCTGAAGTATGTGTAGCAGGAGAAAGAGAAGGGAGGGAAGTAGAGTCAGACTCCCAGTCCATTGTTTCAAACTTTCATGCCAGCAAGTCAAATACCAGACATCTTGTCAGCAGGTGTTGAGTCTCATCATCAGGGCTGGGTGAAGGGGTTGTACTCCCTGTGAGTACCCTGTGCCAGCTCGCAGCTGCGGCAGGAATCACAAGTTAGGGATGTCATTAGGCTCTGCATCAGAAATTAAGAGCTGACCAGCAGTCTCGTGTCAGATTGTCCCGTCAGAAAACAAGCTCTTTTCCTGGGAGCATTTGTCTGTGACTCAGATGGTACAGCCAGCATCCGTGATACTTTCGTAGGTTAAGGCCCTATGAGGAGGGAGGTGTTCTTTATCTGTAATAGTCCCAGGTTGATTTTTAAAACTCAAAATATATTCTCTGTCTGGAGATAGCTCTCTTTTCATGTCCTCTTTTTTCCAGAGGCTCCATTATGCAAAAGTCAGCAAAAAAATCATCAAGTAGGAAGGTTCGTTCTGGTTCCAGTACTTAGAGTTTTAGGTTCCAGCCAAACCACCAGTGGCACAAAACAAGGAGGTTGTGTCTCACTCCCACTTGAAGGAAAAAACAAAAAGCAAAGATGTCAACTGAGTTGTACTTTTCCCCTTGCTTCCCCTTACTTTCCCTCACTTTAGCCAGTGTGGCCAAAAGCAGCCAGGGGATTTAGCAAGCCGGCCCTTGGAGTTGAATAGGTTATCTTCAAATAGCATAGGTATTTCACCTCTTGCAACACACAACAGCTTGGCTGCTGTGTGACACGGTAGCTGACTCCATAGCCACCAGGCACCAGAAGGTCACCATCCTCCATCCCTTTAGCCTTTCTTTTTCAAACACTACTTCTACTGTATGTCATTGAATCAGGGTCAAGGTCACAGTTCCTGCTTCTGGCACCAGTTGTATCAGAGTCCCCAAGCCAGCCCCAGGGTTCGTGATTTGCCAGGACTCAGCATATGGTGGCACTCACAGCTGTGATGCGTTATGGTGGAAGGCTGCACAGCACATCAGCAGAGGGCACTGGCACCCAAAGTCCAGAGGACACCAGGTGCAAGTTTCCAAGAGTCCTCTCCCAGTGGAGTCACACAGGAAGTGCTTAATCCCCCCAGCAACAAGCTGTGATAACACATGTGAAAAGTTGCCGACCAGGAAAGTTCATTAGAGACTCGGTGCCCCGGGTCTTTATTGAGGGCTGGTCACATAGGCCCCCTCGCCAGTTACATACCCGAATTCCAGGATAAGTCATATCGTTTGTACAAATAGAAGAGGCACAGTGAGCTACTGGTCAGTTAGTGGTAAGAGAACTTCTAAAATCTAAGTTCCCAGGTGTTGATCAAGGGCCAACCTTGTAAACAGGCCTCTCCAAGGACAGTAGTCAAGCCTGCTATGTTAACTCTTTAATTGCACAAGGAAATTGACATTTAGAGAAGTTAACTAACCTGCCCAAGGTGATCCAGCTTTTTGGTGACAGTGCTAGTTCTGTCTGGTTCCAAAGCCCGGACTTTGAACTCCTGAAATGAACTGGGCTCTTGAGCATTGAGTACGGGAGTCTTTCAAGATAGCGTCTATTCTGCATATATACTAGAAAAAGTTTGGTGGTATTTAGAGAATGTGGATGCCCATGTCACATTTTAACAGAAATGTGTTCTTCCCAATTCCCTCCTCCCCCTACTTTTTCCATCTGTGCCCCCTGTCTCTTTGGCTGTGATATTGTAACTCTCTAGTATCCCATGCCTGTCCTCGTGTAGCTCCTGCTGGCCCTCTTAAAGCTTCTTACAAGTCTTCTCCCACTCGGAGTGCTGAGAGGAAGAAGACTGCATCTACATCCGGAGTAGGAGATTCTGGGAAAGGAGCGCCTGCAGGAGCGGAGGCCTCTCCGGTAGGTTTAAACCCACTCGCTCACCTCTCACCTCGGGACTGGTTTATCTAACAATGCGATTACTCCCTGTGCTTACCCTGGGTTCCCTGTTTTCATCAGTCTCTAGAGATTGCTCACGTGGTGGATTTGGTTTCAAATTTCACCCATCCTTGGAAAACCATTTAACTCTTTGCATCTTCCTAAATCTTAGTGCCTTGGAGCAAATTCCTAAAGACCTTGTCCTTATAGCCTGCCTTCCGGAGGACAGGAGTCAAAAAGAATGCTCTGAGTGTCCTCTCTCTGCTTTTAAGAATGTTTGACTCTGGGCCAGTCTTGCTTCTACAGGTGACTAGAACTAAGGTTCTAGGTCAACCTTCAATCCGTAACAGTGGCCTTTAAACATTTTTGACATCATACTGACACCATCAGTAAAACAAATTTTGAACAGGTACTTCCAATTGTATATGTTTATTTAGAAATTATACATACCATACTACTTTTGTTAGTTATCAATTGCTGCATAACAAATCACCTCAAACCTTAGCTGCTTAAAATAAATGTTTATTACTGCACTGGTTCTTTGGGTCAAAAATTGAGGATGGCTTAGCCAGGTGGTTCTGGTTCAGGCTCTCTCATGAAGGTGTGGGCAGGATGATGGCCAGAGTTGCAGTCATCTGAAAGCTTGGCTGAGGCTCTTACAGGATGGCTCACTCACATGGCTGCTGGCCTCAGACCTTACTGTGTGAACCTCTTCATAGAGCTGCGTGAGTGTCCAAATGACATGGCAGCTGGCTTCTTCCAGATCAGGAGATCTGAGAGACAGAGACAGAGAGAAAGACAAGCATCTGAGCGTGTACGTGTGTGCACAAGGGAAAAGCTATAGCACCTTTTACGCACTAATCTCACATGTTACATGCCATTGTTTTGTCGTATACTGTTCCTCAAAAGCAGGTCACTGAGACCAACGCACACTCACTCAAGGAGCATCAAATGACGTGGTGGACTTGTTTTAAAACTACCACATTACTGTACTATTAGGCATTTATTTTATAACACTACATGTGTTTTTAAGATATTTTTAAAGATTATTTGTTTTGAGAGAGAGAGGGAAAGAATGAGTGGGGGAGGGGGCAGAGAGAAGGGGAGATCAAGCAGACTCTGCTCTCCAAGCTGAGCTCAATGTGGGGCTCGTTCTCAGGAGCTGTGCGCTCCTGACCTGAGCTGACATCAAGAGTTGGATGCTCAACCAACTGAGCCACCCAGGGGCCCCACCATATGTATTTTTAAAATCCACTGTGGCCCTGAGGTTCTTACATGAGATGTGAGTGTGTTAGACCCTTGGGTTTTACTAAAAAGTCAGTTACTGTGGAAGGGGCCTATCATGTGTGGGAGCAGGAGGACCACATGAGGATTTGTTGTGGAAGGCGCAGGAGGGAAGAGAAGAGAACCACCCTTGTGGAGCCCCCACTGCATGCCCGGCACAGAGGCCATGCCCACCGCCTCCTGCTGACCAGAGGCTATGGGGAAGACGTAGAAGGACAGGTGCTCCCTATGGGGTTGCAATCGCTGTTACACCAGGTACACTGTTAGAGTCTACAGCTCACTGTCCTGGGCATTAAAAACCACATTTATTTCCACCTGTAGTTTTTTTGAGTGGTTATATATTTTTGTACTCTTCCCAGTTTACAAAAGTTTTTAAATTCCAGTACAGACATACACTGTTATAGTAGTTTAAGGTGTGTAATATAGTGATTCTACAATTCTCTACATTACTCAGTGCTTCTCACGGTAAGTGTACTCTTACTCCCCTTCGCCTCTTTGACCTATCTCCTCCCCTCTCCAGCAACCACTAGTTTGTTCTCTGTATTTGAGTGTCTGTTTTTATGTTTACCTCTTTTTTCTTTCTTCATTTGTTATGTAAATTTCCACATATGTGTATTTGTCTTTCTCTAACTGACTTATTTCACTTATTTCACCCTCTAGATTGGTCCATGTTGTTGCATATGGCAAGATTTCATTTTCTTTTATGGGTGGTATTCCATTGTATATATATGCCACATATTCTTTTTTTGTGACACTTATGCCACATACTCTTTATCCATTTATCTATCTGTGAACATTTGGGCTGCATCCATAATTTGGCTGTTGTAAACCTGCAAAAAACTTAGGGGTATGTATCTTTTTTTTTAAAGCTTATTTATTTTGAGACAGGGCAAGTGTTTGCAAAGGAAGGAGAGAAAGAGGGGCAGGGGGAGAGAGATAGAGATAGAGAGATAGAGAGAGAGAGAGAGAGAGAGAGAGAGAGAGAGAGAGAGAGAATCCCAAGCAGGCTCTTCACTGAAAATACAGAGCCTGATGTAGGACTCAAGCTCACGGACTACAAGATCATGACCTGAGTTGAAGTTGGACACTTAAATGGCTGAGCCACCCAGACACCCCTGGTACATAGATCTTTTTGAGTTAGTGTTTTCTTACTCTTTGGGTAAATACTCATTAGTGGAATTACTGGAGTTTCTTTTTGTTAGGTTTATTTATTTATTTTGAGGTGGAGGAGGGGCAGAGAGAGAGGGAGAGAGAATCCTAAGCTGTCAGTGCAGAGCCTGACTTGGGGCTCGATCCCACAGACTGTGAATCATGACCTGAGCTGAGCTGAAGAGTCAGATGCTTAGCTGACTGAGCTATACAGACTCCTCAAGTAATCCATGTTCTATATGTCCAGCATCATAACGTGGTTATGTTGTCAGCTTTTTGCAAGAGAACAAAGAATAGAAAGTCTTTGCATTTTGAGGCTGAAGTGTTTTTGTTTTTTGTTTTTTTATTGGATGACCTCAATATGATGATCTCATGGTGCTTCCCTGCAAATATGCCCGTTGTGGGAAGCGCTTTACTTTAGCTTTGTATGGATCCTTCTGAAAGAAAGCTATGCATTACTTCTATCTGAGGTATTTTTAGAAATTGTAGAAGTATTGCCAGTATTGGGCCATGCATGGCTGACCTGTTCTGTGTCCCCTCCAGACAGAGAAGATGAAGAGAGGCCCTCGAACAACAGCTTCCGTTCCCAGTGTGGGCCTTGGGTCTCCTCTGAGAAGATGTGAGTTTCCAGGAAGCATTTCTAAGCGATCATCTTCTCCAGTGACATCCAAGTAAGCATCTTTCTGCTTTGTCACAGTCGGACTGTTAAGGCAGTTTGGTGGGGGTCTACACAGTGCCACATGTCCTTCCTGCTGCCACATGAGTCGTGGCCAGCTCTAAGAGGTGAGCAGGAGGAATGCTGGCCTTTGAGTTATCTCATTTACTGTCTGTGTATCTTTGGGATACATGATGGGCTCTTCAGCGATTTGTCGCCTGCTAAGTATGAGATTCTGATTCACTGAGATGAATCATTCAGAATGTTCTCTTTTGGTCCATCAGTTCCATTCTGCTTTTCTGGCATTTTCCTACATTTACATCTAGAGTGATTACATTGTGCTTGGGTGCTCAAGTTCATGCATTTGTGCACTCACTCTCTCCTGCCCTCATCTGTCTCTTCAACAGAGAAGCAATAATAACTTGTCAGCCACCATCAGCAGTATGTTGTTTATTGGTTGTTGGTTTTTTTAAATGAAGCCATTATATTTTTTTGTTAAGAATTGGGTGAATTCACCAATGAAATTGTATAACTGAAAAACAAATTCACACTGTGTCTACTCTCTTAAGTCATTAAAATACTTTACTTACAGTAACCAACAAGAATGACTCGGTAAATAACTCAGTCCAGCAGAATGGAAACATCTTCAGTCATACTTACTGAGAGAGAAAGAGAAATATGATTTTAATTTTAATTTGGAAAAATGGGAAGCTCTTTATATAAAGAGAATCATGTAATACTTGTTTAGTACGTGAATTTTTTTCAGAGAACATAGGATAAACCAAATTTAATGAAAACTTGAGAATTTTTTTTTTTATATTTTTATTTATTTCTAGGAGAGAGAGAGAGACAGCGTGAGCAGGGGAGGGTCAGAGAGAGAGGGAGATACAGACTCTGAAATAGGCTCCAGGCTCTGAGCTGGCAGTCAGCACAGAGCCCGACGCGGGGCTCGAACCCACGAACCG